GGACCCCCATTGTATATCAGACAAAATCTAGACTCCTGTGACCTCAGCCTCCTTCTCTAAATGAATCTCCCTACTCCCTAGAAAACTCGCACCGAATACTGTCCCATCTCTCTGTCTTTTATTGTCTCATTCTTCACAGCCACTGTCTTTCTGATTAAGCAGAGGGCTCCAGCAAAGACAGATGAACATGGAGCAGGCCGGGAGGAAGGGCTCACTCTGTCCAACCAGACAGGACAGTTGAATCAACCCTGGTTGTCCATCAGGCACCCACCCCTGTGACCGCCTTCTACTTGCCAAATGTTTGTTCATTCTTCCTGGCTCACTTTAAGCACCACCATTTTTCATCTCGATTCATAGAATCCATTGTGTGAACACTGCCGAGACCATACACTCCTTGGCCATTTGTCACGTGCTGCTTTATGTTGATGATCTTGCATGTGTGTATCAACATTCCCGTAAATAGAGGGTAAGCTCCTGGAACACAGAAACTTCATTGATGTTGCTGGGTATCCCCTACAATGCCTCGCACATACACTGTGTTTTCATGATGTACATGCGTAGTTCTGTACTTTGCAAGAAAACCATGGGTATAGCACTGCTTTAAACAGCTTTAAACAGTAAAGGGGGTCACAGAGAGACACAGATTTTTCTTTCCACCCACAAAAGGAACTGGCTGCACTCAGCTCTTGAGGGTGCTGGATTACTGATAAGATGCACAGATAGGTGTTAGATCTACATGTTTCAGGGCTTCTAATGAAGCTATTGCTTTCTTCTTGACTGGTGCAGGGAGAGATCAAGGAGTTGCGGGGACAGCGATGGACAGGGAGGGCCTCTCCCAGGAGAGTCCGCGCTGGCTTCCGAGGTTGGAGGGGAGGGGTTTCACGGTTTGTCTTGAAAGTTTTCTGTCTCATCCATCTGAGCTCAAATCAGGAAATCAGTTCTGAGAGTGAAGGCCAAGAATATTTTAATGTGCTGTTTGGATAGAAATCTGATGAGCAGACGTTCTGAACTGATGCCAAACCACCAGCCATCCCCAGCTCTCTGATGGGCCAGAACCCCTCCCAGCCCTGCAGATGCCCAGCTTTGCTTTGACAAGCTTAGGTTTTCTACATTCATTGATCCCAGAGCCCCTTTGTTTTTTCCCTGCCGAGATTCTTGGGATATTTTCTATTTAATAATAAAGCCATGTTATTATTATTCCTTGCAGCCTTGTTTCCATTAAATCGCAGGCCTGGTCGGCTAACGTGTGACATCCTGTATTGTGCTGCCACAGCACATTTTAGCCTGTGGTTTCTTACACGCTTTGAAAGCCAGTCCCTTTGTTTACTGTCACTCAAATCCTCACTGCCGGACGAATGACAGGTGGCATCAAGGAAGCTTCCCTTGGAAGCTACTATTTTCACTCGGGGCTTCGCATCGTCTGTATTGGTAGATCCCATTTTCCTTTTTTGATTTTCTTTTTAAACTTTTCCTCAATGTTAATTATTTTATTCAGTATAAACGTTTGGAAAATACAAAGCCAAATCAAGGAGAAAATAGCAATGACCTGGAGTTGATCACACAGAGTTGATCACTGTTCACATTTTGGTTTGTTTACTTGCAGTCTATGCTTTTACCTTTCTTGTGTATGTCAGTCATTTTTACTGTGAAAAGGTAGTTTTTCTGCATTAACAAGTTGAGGACTGTTAGGACTACTAGGTCTTAGGCTTCTGCCTGTTCCCCTCGGGTGTGGCATTGGTCAGGCTTCTGGTGCAGTGGAGAACAACCCCCCGCCCTCCGTGGCTTGTAGCAGAGACATTTATTCCGTACTCTGGTGTGCAGGATGGCTGCCATGGGAGCCTGGCTGGCTCCGCTGAACTAGGCTGGAGTTCGGGCTTCATGCCTGGTGCACACATCACCCTTTTAGGGCCTTGGCTAGAGGGTCCACTGCTACCTGGGGCAGGCTCTTCTTGACACGTCTCTTAAGACCTTAGCTTAAAATGGAGGCATTGCCATTTCACCCTTGTTCTGTTGATCAAATCAAGCTACTTGGCCAAGCCTGAAGTCTGTAAGGTGAAAAGAATACTCCTCTCCTGGGGGGAGGAGGCCATGGTGAATAAGTTTGGGTTTGCTAGGGGGGCCATAAAAAATACCACAGACTGGGAGCTTGGACAGCAGGCATTTGTTGTGCCATAATTCTGGGTGCTCGTCGGCTAAGGTCAAGGTGTCAGTGAGGTTGGTTTCTTCTGGGGCCTCTCTGTCTTTGGCTTGTAGACAGCTGTCATCTTCCTTTGTGTTTATTTGTTCTAATATCCTCTCATTCTAATGGGACATTGGTCATAGTGGATTATAGCCCTGACCTCATTTAACCGTACCTTTCTCTTTAAAAACTCTACTTCCAAATATAGTCTCATTCTGAGGTTAGGACTTTATTTTATCTATTTATTTTTTAATTAAATCTTTATTGTTCAGATTATTACAGTTGTTCCTCTTTTTTAAATACCCCAGCCACTTCACCTCAAGAGCTCAGCTTCCTCATCTTTAAAACGGGGTCAGCATCTCTGTGCTATGGGCTTGTTGGGGATTGAAAGACCCTGGTGGTGCCCACCCTGTGTGGCTCAGTGGTTGAGTGTCAACCCAAGAGGTCACCTGTTTGACTTCCGGTCAGGGCACATGGCCGTAGTGTGGGCTCAATCCCCAGTAGGGGGTGTGCAGGAGGCAGCCGATCGATGTTTCTCTCTCATCAATGTTTCTATCTCTCTCTCCCTCTCCCTTCCTCTCTCTATAAAATCAATAAAAATATTTTTAAAATCCCTGGTGGTGATGTCGGGATGTGTGTGGTTCTCACACAAATGGAAGGACCACAGTTAGCCTTCCTGGGTCTGCCTCCCTGTTCTTGTTCGTGGGGAGACTGGGAGTACCTGGGGCTTCTCAGAACGGCCTGCCTTCCACCGCAGCTGCAGGGAAAGGGGAATCTTTGTAACCCAGCCAATAGGACCTTTTGGGCACTTTCTTTAGCAGAGTTAAAGCTGGTGTTAATCAATTAAAGAGAGAAATTGCTTTTCTGTCCACTTCAGTTTTGTTTTATGCCCATCTCATATTGTTGTCTTGTCAGGGCCAGCCTGACAGGTTGAACCGGGCTGAGGTAGGGAGGTGGGAATTGAGAAAAGAAAGAAAGACAGGAGAGCGGGATCAGGAGGACTACAGCTCAATCGAGAGACTGCAGTAAGTTTATTAACCACGCAATGCCTTTTATACACAAAACACTGAATAGGAGGTCTGTCAAGAGGAATGTATTCTTTGTTCCTCTTAATCTCTAAGGGAGAGACAGAGCAGAAGAACAATTCTCAGTACAGCAAATCTCAGTAAATAGTTACAGACTTCTTGGTAAGCCATGAAAGGCTGTTCTCATTCTACAAAGGTTGCTCTCATTCTACTGATAACTGCCATCCAAACAAGTCTGGGAAAACTGTGTGGGTAAGGGTCCCAGCCCTGCTAGCCCCTTCAGGTGCAAGGACCGTGTCAGCTTACACCCGGTCTCCAACATTGTCTGTGTTGTAATTCCTACTTTTTGATCCCATTTCCAATGTGTAAAATTGGTTAACTTGTAAATATCTTTTATGACGAATTCAATTATAATAAACTGTTGTGGTTGTTGAAAATAAAAGTATGGCCTTCGTAACACATCCATGAGCCATGGCTCCAGCAACCTTTCCCGCCAATATTTTTGAAGACCTTTGATGCTTTCACAGGGCTCTGAGCCTCCTATGGGCGTAAGGCATGATCCTGCTCTCCAGGGACTGCAGTTGAATGCCTGTGAGAAAAACAAGCGAGTCAGGAGGTCAGCGCCGGAGGGTCCCTCGCTCTGCCCCTGCGTTCACAGCCAGCGGCCTTGCACGCTGCCAATCTCCTTTTGGGTTTCTCTCCTAGAATATTGTGCTGAGGAATGGGTCCGAGGCCTTCGACTCCTGGAAGCAGCCCCCTGTGCCTGTGTACATCCAGTTCTATTTCTTCAATGTCACCAATCCAGAGGAGATCCTCAGAGGGGAGATCCCGCGGTTGGAAGAAGTGGGGCCGTACACCTACAGGTGAGTCCTGGCCGCCTCCCTGCTGTCCTGGCAACACAGAGCACCCCCACCATGGCCCGAGTCCTCGGCTTTTCCCCCAGTGACCTCTGGGTGCTGCGCAGGAGCGCGGGCTTTGACCCCATCTGTGTGAGCTGGCTTTGTGGCCTGGAGCCGTCCCAGCCTCTTATGTTTAAATGGAGCTGCTTCTTGCCCTAGCCAGCTTGGCTCAGTGAATAGAGCATCGGCCTGCGGACTGAAGGGTCCCAGGTTCGATTCCGGCCAAGGGCACATGCCTGGGTTGCGGGCTCCATCCCCAGTGTGGGGTGTGCAGGAGGCAGCCAATCAATGATTCTCTCTCATCATTGATGTTTCTATCTCTCTCCTTCTCCCTTCCTCTCTGAAATCAATAAAGAAATATAAAAATAATAAAAATAATAAATAAATGCAGCTGCTTCTTCCTGGGGTGGCAGCAGGAGATTATTGAGCCCTGCAGTGCTGCTCTCAGCCCCACCCTTTAAGGTCACCATGTGATTGTCTTTGGTCACCCCTAGAACCTTCCCCTACTTCCCTCCCCGCTCATAGACCAGTTCCTAAAATGCGTTGTTCTGCAGAAAAGCCTACTAGTCTCCCACTCGCCCCTTTTCCCACCTTCCTGGGTCCGGGAGACAACAGTGGCAGTGTGGGTTAGAGTCTCTGGGGATTAGGAGAATTGCTTTAACGTGGTTTTTTGTTTGTTTGTTTTAATATATTTTTTATTGATTTCAGAGAGGAAGGAAAAGAGAGAGAGAGAGAGAGAGAGAGAGAGAGAGAAACATCAATGATGAGAGAGAATCATTGATCTGCTGCCTCCTGCACGTCCCACACTGGGATTGAGCTCACAACCCGGTCATGGGCCCTGACCGGGAATCAAACTGTGATCTCCTGGTTCATGGATCTACACTCAACCACTGAACCACACGGGCCAGGCTTTCATTGTTTTGTTTTGTTTTCCAAAAGTTAGTAGAGGGAGGCACTCGGGGGCCTTATGGTCAGAGCATTTTTCCTACTGCAGTATTCCTCCTCCCACAAGACAGCAGCCCTTCCCCTCCCTCCCCCACCCCACAGTAATCTTTCCTGTAAAGTTCCTCCTTAACAAGTTTTAAAACAAAATAGTAGAGAGAAGTCGATGGCAAGATCTTTCTTCTTCTGCAAAATGCTAAAAATTCCTCACAATTCTGTCGTAATCGATTGCACAATAAATGTTTGTGACTGATTCACTTAGTCTGAATGAGTCAGTCGGATTCTCAAGTGCCGGAATTCACAGATGAAAATCTCTGAATTGCCTGTTTTGGATCCGGCCTCTGCCACTTACTAGTTCTCTGTGCCTGGGTTTCCTTATCTATAAAGTGGAGATAAAGCGAGGACCTCCACCACAGGCTTGTGAGGGTTCCATGGGGTAATGAGTCAGTATTTACAAAATGCTTAGACTAGTGCCAGCCCATACAGCCCATAATCGGAGTTTGCTATTGTTGTCTTGGTCTGTGTACGTCAATGTACAGAATTGTAAAGATGAGCTCTGTTGTTATATAAAACAATTTTTAAAAAATAGGTCTTAATTTTATTTCTTTTTTTAAATCCTCACCTGAGGATATGTTTTAATTGATTTTTAAGAGAGAGAGAGAGAGAGAGAGAGAGAGAGAGAGAGAGAGAAACATGGGTCTGTTGCCTCCAGAATGCAACCCGGCCGGGGATCAAACCTGCAACCTAGGTATGTGCCCTGACCAGAATCAAACCCGCAACCTTTTGGTGCATGGGAGGATGCTCCAACCAACTGAGCCACCCAGCCAGGGATCAGATCTTTATTTTAAAAAGCAGTTTTTAATGTGTTTCTCCTTCCCTGGTCTCTTCCCTCCCCTCCCCTCCCCTCTCCTCCCCTCCCCTTCCTTTCCTTGGGTCCTAGTGACTCTCCCTGTGCCATGTCCCGGCCTGAGCATCTGGCTCCTTCTGTCTATTTAGCCCCTTGATTTGATTTTATTTGATTATTTAATTTTAATTTATTTTTGGCACTTTCAACCTAGAATTTTTTGCTCTAACCAGAGCTACCCAACAGAAATGTAACATGAGCCAAGTATATCGTTTAACATCTTCTAGTAGCCACACTTATAAAAGTAAAAAGAGGTAGGAGAAATTAATTTTAATATTTTATTTACCCCAATACCACCCAACATAGTATCATTGCAACATGTAATCAATAGTCAGAATTATTACTACACAGTACATGCTTTTTTTCCTGGTAAGTCTTTGAAATCCCACGTGTGTTTTATAGCAAACCTAATTTTGAACTAGCCGCATTCAGGTGTGCAGCAGCCACGTGTGGCTTGTGGCTACCATATTGGACACCGAGTTCTAGCCAGACTCCACTTGTAAGGCCCACGCTCCCGGCCAGTGTGCACTCTGTTCTCTCTGTCAGGAATGAACTCAGCACTGCACCTCTCCGCGCCGACGCGGCTTCCCCCTGCGACTTGCCCTGCCTTTGGATGCACTCTCCCTAGTGTGCGTCTATTAGACACAGACTAGGTGCATTTTAAGCACTGGTTTGTCTATCTGTCTTTCTTCCCAATATACTGGAGGCTCCGTGAGGGGCAGGAACAAAGCCCCTTAACTCTGAACATCTAGTGTAGTGAACATGGGTGGAATACTGAATGAAGCATCCTCCTCCATGGTTTAAATCATAGGAAGTACAAGAGGAGAAATTGTTTCAATCCATAGCACACAGACAGCTCATCTGGAGCCACAGGACTGCACCAGGGGAACCCAGGCGCCAAGGGTAGGTTCAGGAAAGGTTAGGTTTAAAAGGGTCCTGAAAATGACCCCCTTTCTTTGGGAACGGACGCTCACATGTTCAGTACAAACTGCAGTGTTCCTACAGGTGTTGAGTGGGTTGTGAGACCGGGGATTTGTAGAAAAGTGTGGCTTTTTAGGGAGACTTACAGCCCCCTGGCAGGCCTTTTACACTCATCCAGTGCAGGGGTGTGGAACCTTTTTTCTGCCAAGGGCCCTTCCAGGCCCAAACAAAATTGTCAACCTAAAGATTAGCCTGCTATATTTGGTCAAAGATCTAATTAGCTCACCCCTAATGCCTTGGCAGGACCAGGCCAAATGACCAAATGATTTCAGGGGCCTGATACAGCCCATGGGGCCAGACCTTCCCCACCCCTGCTCTAGTGGGTGTGATTTTTCTCGCCCATGATCTAATTGTGCTATTGTTCAGCTAGATCACATACAGCTATTCCAGTGGCTTCTGCCCCAGTGTTTAATAGTTCCATGGTGTCCCTCCCAGCTGAGTCAGCTGACACTGTCCATTGTGTGCAAAGAGTCCTGGGGCACAAAGAAGGGCAAGGTGCACTGGCCCCTAACTGGGTAGTGCAGTGGTCGGCAAACCGCGGCTCGCAAGCCACATGCGGCTCTTTGGCCCCTTGAGTGTGGCTCTTCCACAAACTACCACGTGCGGGCGCGCACGTACAGTGCGATTGAAACTTCGTGGCCCATGCGCAGAAGTCGGTTTTCGGAAAGGAGATAGACAAAACAAGTATACAAGACGAGTGTGGATGGGAGAGTTGGAAGGGGTCAACCTCAGCGAACGTACTTCAATCAGATTGAGGATGTTTTTAGCAAAGGCCAGCTTAGGAGTACCCTAATTAAGTTAATAACAATGTACCTACTATATAGTTTAAGTTTAAAGAATTTGGCTCTCAAAAGAAATTTCAATCGTTGTGCTGTTGATATTTGGCTCTGTTGACTAATGAGTTTGCCCAGGGGGAGGTAGTGGGTTGGCCCGGGGGGAGGGGGGGAGGGGGGGTTTCTGAGAGAGGGAGAGCCACGCGGGCTGTGGGGGGACTGATTAAATTTGACACACGATGTACAGTGGCATGTTTTACATATGGATGAGTTCAGAATATTAATGTTTTGCAAAAAGATGGTGGGACTTCCACATGTAGATAAAAACCAGTCAATCTGATTTAAGTAATGCAGTGTATAGTAAAGGTTTTTTTTAAAAAAATTTTTAATGAAAGTATAGTTGGCGTACAATGTTAATTAGTTTCAGGTGTACAACATAGTGATTTGACATTTATATACCTTATGATCTTTTCATCACACTAAGTCTAGTTACCATCTATCACCGTGCAAAGTCATGGGAGTATTATTGACTATATTCCCTATATAATGTACATTACATTCTGTGCCTTATTTATCTTATAGCTGGAATTTTGTACCTCTTCTTCCATGTCAACTTTTTTACCTGTCCCCCACTCCCACCCCTCTGACAGCCATCAATTTGTTCTCTGTTTCTATAAGTCTGTTTCTGTTTGTTTACTTGTTTTGTTTTTTCAGCTCCCACATACAAGTGAAATTATACGGTATTTGTTTTTTTCTGTTTGACATATTTCACTTAGCTTAATACCCCCTAGGTCCGTCCATGTTGTCACAAATGGAAAGATTTCATTCTTTTTATGGCTAACTAGTATTCCATTGTATATATGTACCACTACTTCTTTTTTAAAAAATATTTTTATTGATTTCAGAGAGGAAGGGAGAGGGATGGAAACATCAATGATGAGAGAGAATCACTGATCAGCTGCCTCCTGCACGTCCCTCACAGGGGATCGAGCCCGCAACCCAGGCATATGCCCTTGACTGGAATCGAACCTGGGACCCTTCAGTCAGCAGGCCAACACTCCATCCACTGAGCCAAACCAGCTAGGGCATGTACCACTACTTCTTTATCCATTCATTTACCAAGGGACAATTAGGTTGCTTCCAAATCTTGGCTATTGTAACTAGAGGCCCAGTGCACGAAATTCGAGCACTGGGGGTGGGGGGTCCCCTCGGCCCAGCCTGCACCCTCTCACAGTCCAGAGCCCTCGGGGGATGTCTGACCTACAGCTTAGTACTGCTGCTGTGTTCGCCAGCCATGAGCCCAGCTTCTGGCTGAGTGACGCTCCCCCTGTGGAAGCATACTGACCACCAGGGGGCAGCTCCTG